TACACGCCTGTTTTAACTTTTATCCTTGACAGAATTGAGGAGGAAAATCAGGAACTTGGGAAGAAACATTTAGATGGATGAGTGCTGAGAGAGGGAGGTGTGTGTATTCAATGATGGATTCATAAATGCCTCAAGAAAAAAAAAATGGAGTCCTGCTTTACCTGAGTCATGGTTCTGGACTTCTCCAACTACTCGAGAGCAAAGCTGCTATTCCCTCTGCTATCGCAGCTGCTCGGGACAGCCTCTTCCTCACAGGAGACAGAGCTGTGAACACGCACCTCGTTGCACAGAGGTGCTTGTGACTGCTCTGCAATAAAAGCTAGATCTCTTCTACAGTGTAGGAGCCTTGTCTTAAAAGTATCCATTTCTCTTCACATCTGAAGATTTCTGCACTACAAAGGGAAAAAAAAAAACAAAACAAAACAAACAAAACCAAAACAACCCCCCAGCCAAGCTTTCACTTGTTGCCACAAGGGGAATCTCATCTCCTGGGCTTCCCCGGGGCAAAGGCTGCTGCACCCTGCGCCCACCCCTCCCAGCCTCGGTGGTCCCTTCAGAAAAGGGGGGGGTTCTTGAAAGCAAACTGGGGAGCAGCCCTCCAACCCACCTCCCGCTGGGTAAGGGGTGGCTCTCCCTCCCTGCTGGCCTCATCTCCACTGCTCCCTGAAGGACTAAAATCAGCCATTTGGCCTACAGACAGCAGGGGTTTGTGTGCAGCCAGCCAGCCAAGTATTTAGTTCTCTAAACATCTTAAGTAAATTCCTGCTGCCTCATTATCTCATCTTCATGCTTCCTTACTGATTATCTGCGTTTATTTAAAAGGAAGTAAAATAGATTAGAAGTGACCCAGGTTTTAAAGATAGTTTGTGGAGGTTGGACCAAACTCAGAGGAGCTATTTCTTCACATGGCGGGTGGAGATTTTTACAGATAGACCAGACCTGTGTGTGCCATGTACAAGATGAGCCAAATGCTAATTATTGGGTGAGAAAAAACAGGTAATCATAGGCAGAGTCCCTGAAGTGTTTATTAAACCACCTAGCATATCAGACTCAGCTGACCTTGCTGGTCACTTTGGCTTATCTCCAGGCTTACAACTTAATGCAGCACGTGGAGGGGAACCCCACAAAACCCCCAAAACTGAATCTAGTGATGATGTTTGCACAGCTTATCTCGGGCCACGCGAAGACTCCCAGGCAGGTTTGCTACAAACATTTTAGAGACGCTTGCAATTTTTCAATAACCTGCCATTTCTAAATAAATGTTGAACTACTGCTTCTCTGTGTTGCTGACATTTGGAAAATGCTCCACAAGAAGAGCTTTCAGATCATTCTGCAGGGAGGAGAGGAAGCAAGTGCCCACACTGCTGCTCCAGCACCCACCTCCCATTCACCTCTTCCACGGACAGCAGCCACAGACAGCGCTCCGATTAGAGATCACCTCTTTGCTTAGAACAAATATTTAAATAAAAAAAAAATGGAAAAAAGTAATTCTATATAATGCAAGATTAATCAAGGTAAAGCCTGTAAGACTACACAAAAAAAAGCACCTGTTATACAAATAACACATTAAAACATTAAGAGCAAAAAATTTACAAGAATACTTAATTTTAAAGATAATTCCAGATATTATTTTATTTTGCATTTTACAAATAACAAGCATTTTTCTATAAAAAAAAAATCTAGGGTAAAAATCAATTTAGTTACAGCTAGAAATATTTACATTCTTAGAAGACATTTCTGTATTTTTCTATATACAAGGCTGTGGCCATTACTAGTTTAAAGTAACCCAAAGGCATTTGTAAGTAAGGCATTATGGTGCCTGAGCCGATTCTACACTTGAAGAAAACTGTCTACAACTGCCAGGATAAAGGTTCTATTCTACAAATACCGAAATACAACATTTGTTCGCAGTGTCCCACCAGTTTCCTGATGTGCTTACTGTGCTGATGTGTGCAGGCCCCTGGGGAGCGTTAAAAAGAAGAGCCCCTCTGGGCGAGACGATAAACTGGAACCGGCTGTGAAGCAGAGATGGGTATAACTCACGTTAATCTCAAATCCCAGGGTCAGCAATACAGTCTTAGCATCATCACATCTCAAAATGAACGTCCTCTGAAAAGAACAGTATTTTTACAGTGTAGTTAGGTGCAAGGGGGGTTGTGCAATTAAAAGAATATGACTAAGCATTCAAAACCCAATCCTTGGCTTGACTTACTGCAGTCCAATTCCCTGGGCAATGCAACACCTCCCTGCTCCGCCGCCTTCCACGCAGTAACTTGGAAATGGGGGGAGGAGGTGTTCACACCTCTTACCAAAAATAAGTGTCAGAAGGCATCCGAAGGTGCCTGCTTCTGAAAGATGGAATACTAAACGATGCTTGTGTGAGCGCTGCGTTCACCATCAGGAGAGTCAGAGAATCTAACGAGTACAGACTGGGGAGCACCACAAGAAATTGTGGTACCTTTTGAGTTAACGGTAGTTCCACTTGCAAGCAAAGAAATGAAAGTCACAGGGTTATGCAACATGCCCAAGATGATGAAAGAAGTCAGTCTAAGAGATGGAAAATAAGAGATCCTAGCTCCTAACTTGAGGCCATACGCTGCTTTCCGTGGTGAAGATACTGTAGTGTGCACTGTTCCCTAGAACAGAAAATTTTGCCTAACCAGATTATTTTGTATAACCTGTATTGCTGCTGTAATACAGGTTATGGGCACCAAAACCATTCAGTACTTCCCAGGTTAAAGTTAGCCTGAATGTCAAAGTCTGTATTATCTTCCGCTGTGGTGCTCACAGGTTTATCACAACTCCTCTTTCAAAGGCAAATTCTGTCCCTTTCTCCTTACAAAGTGTCCCTCGCTACTTCTTTGAGGATAACGGGAGCAAAAGCATTGGCTTTCCCAGAGAGCGGCAGACCAGGTCCCTCCCCACGAGCCAGCACACTAGGCAAGGCCCAGGTTTAGGTGCCTTCAAATACTGGTACTAAACCCGTCACCTCTTTACAGGAGGGACAATCTGTGCCGAGAAAACCATCTCCCACATGGACCTCGACTCATTTCCTGACGCACCACAGCTCCGCGGGGGCGAGCGAAACACCCCTCAAAAATATAAACCCCGAAGCGGTGCCTTGACGGCAGAGTCCCAGCAAGTCGGTCCCACTCCTGCTTCGCACCAGCATACAGCAAAGCCTATAAACACACGTCGAGATGTGGATTAAGGAAACCAGACGCTGTCCTGGAGTCGGTCACGTCTGAGAGCGCGCTCGGCAGACACCTCTCTGGAAGGCGCGGCACGGCGCAGCACCGCTCGCTGCTTTATTCTGCAGGTACAGCCGCCGCCGCACCGCGCGCTGCGAATCGCCCCCCGCGCCAGCGCTGGTGCCGCTCTAGGATCTGCCAAGGGCTGGATCCGCTCCTTTCATCTACGTCTTATCTGAGCAGATCAGAGCGCCTGTGTTAAAGTATTCCCTCGATTTCTTTTGGAGATACCTATTAGCTGGATTCTGCCTGCCCACTAGAACAAGCTCCTCGTTTTAGAGATAAACTTGAAAAGAGTCAGATTAAAAAAGTAAACAGAAAATAACCCAGTATGCTATATTAAATACATTCTACAGTTCTGACTCATACTTTTTGTTTTTAAAAAGGGAAAAAAAAAAAAAAGGTATTTTTTTGACACAAAGAGATTGCCACTGTGTTTTGTAGTATTAGTCATAACCAGGAATTTCCCCATGTTGTCTGGATTTAAAAAAAACCCACAACCTAAACAAACAACAAAAACCCCCCAAAATCTTCAGTAAACATTAGAGTATTTAAATATTCAAGAACAAAAGTCTCACTGTCAAGGCACATACCTGGATAAAACAGTGGAAACCAGCTAAATCGGACATGAAATGGACTCTGAACTTTAGGACAGGAATTTCCATACTAGATCATGTATCAGGCAAGCACGTATCTTACATTTCAGGATATTTTCTGAAACAGTTTACAGGAAGAGACTTATGGGACAGAGTTGTTTACATTGGCAAATTCATTACAAGGAAATTGCAGTTAAATGTGTTTTGCCCTAGATTCCTGTGGTTATCAGATAATTCTTCTACAAAACACAGAAAAGAAGCTGCTTCTAAGTGTTCAAGTTCCTAGAAATAAGGTTTACAATGAAAAATATCTGGGCTGAGTTTTAGAACATACTCTTCAAGTTTGCAATGAATATTTCAAAGAAAGCGGTAAGCCTGACAAATTGTATCATGCCTTTTGGGCAAGGGAGACTGGCTGTTACATGCTTTCTCCTGACACCTATTTGCTCATGTCAAGGCTACTATATGATGTGCAGTGAGGCGTGCAAAATCCAGATTCACAATTTTTGCACTAGCTTGAAATCCCACACTGCATTTTAAGTGCGCCTGCCAAGGGCCTGTCAACCTATTAAACAGCAGTGACACTGAACCTACCCAAATGTTCAGGTTTCTCTCCTCGAAGAACTGATGGTAAGAAAAAACTGTGTTTCTTGGTATCACTTTCTGACCCGGTGACATGGGCCAACTTCCTGCTGCATCCAGAAATTAAAATACTAAACAAGTAGGTGAGAAAATGCTGGGAAAGCAGAGCAAACCTAAAAGGTGAGGACACTGGTAGGAGGAGTTTAAACAAAACAAACCGCTATCGTCTACCCAGTGTTCTCTACTTTTTTGTTCCTACGACAGGCTGAAGGGCACGCATCACTCTGACTACAGGAGCTGGTTACCGAGGACAGAATATGGGGTATTGGTTAACGGGAGACTTGAGTACCTGATGCCACCTCTGGATTTAAATACAGTAGGAAAATCCCAAACTTCCACAACCAGCTGCTACAGCAGGGTCAGGCCCCTCACAGCTTTGGCTATGAAGGTTTAGGTTCTGTTTATTAAGTCTCTACAGGACAGAACAAAACACAAACAAGTGCCACAAGAGAGAAATTTTTCAGCACGCACATCTGTCAACTATAATTAGAATAGCACAAAGGAGACTGGGTGTATGTATACACTGTATCTATTTAAAGAAACACAGGTAATGCCAAGCGTGCTTCCACGACCCAAGGAAAAATTTCTAGGCAGACTGTCAACAAGATTTGTGGGAGGTTTTTTTTTTTGTTTTGTTTTGTTTTTTGTTTGTTTTTTTAAAAACAATATGAAAACAATTCACTGCTTACACGAGTTAAATGAAAAAACAGACCTCACAAAAATCATACAGTTGGCACTTGAGAATCTAGAATCAGGGGTCAGAAATATATTCTGAATTTTGTTCTCAGTACGTTCCACCATGAGGTCAATGTAGCGGCATAGATTAACACAATAATTTATCTCTAAATATATTCATTGTGTGCGTGTGTATGTGCACGTGTGTGAAAAGCACAGAACAAAGGAGAATTGCTTCTGTCATCCAGATTGTGCAGAAAACGTTAAAACAACTCAGACATAAAACTTCCACCACACATCAAAAGGGAAGAACCCCAAACTAACACCGTTCCCTCCACACACAGATGAACCTTTTTGCATTACTTAAAATAAATACAACCTGCAAGCAGGCCACATTCAGGGTCAGATGTAAACAACTTGACCATACAGGGACAGTTGAAAACCAGCACTGGAATCAAGTGAATTTGGTGAGCAAAATTTCAGTGCTACAAATACATTGTGCAAGACAACCCTTTCAATCTATGTCGAGTTAAAACATACCAAGTTAGAATTAATTCTCAAAAATCTTTCTTTGCACCTTTTTGAATTTGTAACCAAAATCAGCACATGCAAAGTTGCTTGAGTAAGATCACAGAGGCATGTTCTCATAACCTTTGCTACAATACGTAAGCTTCCTGTCCAGAGACAGAAGTCAAGGAATCAAAACCAATTAGCAGCTCTTTCTGGCAATTTGTACTTCCTGATGTGCATTAACTCTGGAGAAGGTTCACCGAAGAATCCAGGTACCCTGCCAGCCCTTGAACTCATTTTCAAGTATCTTTCAGCTGAACTATACACTTAAAGTTACAAAGGATTGATCGGATACTGTTCCATGGTATTACTGCATTGAAACAACTGGGGCTGAGAAATCTCACTGAAGGCTCTACAGTATTTATGTTCATATAAAAAGAGAATGTATGGAACACAGTGTTTAAATTAATAAATAAGGTTAAAATTACAGGAAACAAAGTGTTGCCACTAGCCCTTTCTAGAACAAATATTAGAAGAAAAGTCCATTTAACTTTCAGTCCACTAGGAAGTATGCAGGAGCTCCATCAAAAAGCCGTGCTTTTAAAAATCTCTGGATTTTCTTCTTCCTCCTTGGAATCCCTTGTGCTACTAGATGCAGGCCTGAATTCTAATCTGGGGGGAGAAAAAAGAAAAGAAAGAAAAAAGAAAACAACTTAAAAAAAATAGATGAGAGAACAGAGAGAAAAAAAAAATCTTTGATATCCTGAGCCCTATTTGACACTACAGCCTCCTAATTTTAATATCCTGTTGACTGCAGTGAGACAGGTCCCTGTCTTACACCAGGTGTATGCTTATGTGCCATCTTCAATCAGAGCCGTGGCAAAAGGCCAAATGCTCTCAATGCTTTTAGGTCAGTTGAACTAAACTGGAAGTGTTCAGCCCTTCACCAGCACTTATATGACTTTCAGAAACTAGAAAGATAGATTATAACCCACCAAGTGACCCTATACCTTTATAAAGCAACACGCTTTTACAAATGCATTCCTCATATGTACTTTTATTGAGTCTTCAGAGTAAGATGATAAATTTGGAGCCAAGAGATGTACATACGAACACACACACTTGGGAAGAAGGACCAGGATTCCAGCCAAGCTCCTGTATTTTCAGCAGGGCACTAACAACACTCCCTCTGACAATACCTAGGCAAGTCCACTCCTCAGAACAGAGAACAGATGTGTTAAGATCAGAAGGTGACACTTACACTTTCACCATCAGCATTTGCTCAATGGTGTCCGGAAGAGGCATACCATAGCTTTCTGGCAGAAATAAAGTCAGAATTCCTGATAGCACAGTCAGGCTCCCCATCAGGATGTAAGGCAGGAATCGATCATAGGCACCTAGCAGAATTGAAAAGGAAAAAAAAAAAGAAAAAACAAAAAAGCTAGCATCAGTTAAGTCTCCAATAACGTTTGTACCTAGGTACAGGGCTTTATCCGTGCAAGATTTATGCCTTCCTCAGTCTGGCATTCAAAGCATATGTTGCTATAAATGTTGTTTTAGGAACTCAAGAGACTGGGAAACACTAGCTATAAGAGCTGTCCCTTTTGAGTCAATAAATTGTGAGTCCTCTGAGCATCTCTTCAACAGGGCGCGGAACCAGTTTCTCTACATTATGCCCATTCCTCAGAGATGTTGAGACCCCATCTTTACCTGAAGTTTCAAAAGACACCTGGACCTGGAAACAGAGAACAGCAGAAAAGCCCAACGACCCAGAGAGACGCTGATTTGGGTAGCACTGCCTTCCAGTCACCAGCATCCCCCTGGCACACGCACAGCCTCGTTAACTTACCGAGGTAAACGAAGTAAGGCGAGAGGATGCTGCCCAGTCTAGAGGCCATGGAGCTTGCTCCAACTCCCATGTTTCTCACTACTGTTGGGTAGAGCTCAGCCGTGTAAACATAAACCATTGAAAAGGCAGATGTGATCCCAAACTTCCCTAACATCACCAGTAGAATAGATAGTGCACGAATATCTGAAATCAAAATGCAGTAAGGACTTCAATCAAGCTCTGACAATTCATGGCATCTCTTAATTCCATTGTGGTTGTATAACTCCTGCCTAATTAGTTCCAGTATCTCATGTATTTTTTTTCTCAGTACATGTCTACAAGCATGGGCAACATTTATTTATTTTTTTGAAAAATTACTAGGATTCAACATTTTCATTTCCTCTTGAGCATGGGGCTTATTGCCAAGCAAAAAGTAAGAACAGAGGAAGAATTGGAGAGGTCCTCTCAGATTTCAGGAGCCAGATCTCTGCTATTGCAAACAATGACATATATCCCTTTTTAACAAAGCAAACAAAGTTAAACATTCAAACCCAGTTATTTTTGGTTTCCTGCTCTGGTTTCTCATTAACATTCCTAACTACAAGTCAATAATTTAATTATAGGAACTTGGGGTGGATTTTAACTGGGACAGTTAGATTTGAAAATCAAACCAGATGTATCAGTGTCCAATTGACTCAAAGGACAGGAGGGGGGAAAAAAAAAAATAGAGAATGCAACACGTATATTACCTGTATAAAATAAGCAAGGCAGTTCTTGAGCATTCTCTTTTGTTTATTCTTTAATCTGTAAACAAGTGCTAAGCAACAACACCCCCTCTCCATCATATTCAACATCTTTATCAGTAACAACTCTATAACCCTATTAATCTAACTGGCCTAAAGACATATATGATTTAATATCCAGTAAATGTTATTTCGCCCTCCTTTCCAGTTGCCAACCATTATTTTAACTATCAACACTAATTCAGTACAAGCATCTTTGCTTATCAAAAATGCTTCCACAATGACTCCCTTGAGTGCGACTGTTTAAACAAGCCATAAAGAGACAGCCACTGACAGCTGTTTGGGAAGGAAGTTCTGCAGCCATCTGGTAATCTCTGCTTACCAAATTCTGGTTGGTCTAGTTCTGGTTTTACACTTAAACGTTACCAGGGCACCTTGTCAGGGATGGACTGGACTAATCCCAACAGATCACAAAGTCAGCGACCCACCTTTAAAAATGTATCTGAATTGACATGTTGTGTGAGCTCCTTGTGCAGCAGCACTGAGAACCGAGGGGCAAAGATAGGAAATGAGTATCTGTAAGTCCCCTCAGGACACTTTTCCTCCATACCTGCCCAGTGCATCGTACTGCACTTCACCTATCATACATATTTGAGATCAACTAACGATTCCATACGTGAAGGCACCAGCTGAATGAAGAGAAGAACACAGCCTCCCAAGAGTAACGCAGCAGCCATTGAATACCGTCGAGGGAGATTTCGAAGCAGTAGCCAGGAAATAATGTAGGCTGGAACTTCGATCACTGCTGAGAGGAAGCAGTTCACATAGACATCTCCATGCAAGTTAGGTGTGTCAAGAGAAAGTCCAAAATAACCAACAGAGATTATCATCCTGAAAGAAGCAGGATAACAGAATCAGAAATTTCTTTTCTTCCTGAGGCTACCAGGAACCTCATTTACGTCTCCATTAAGCACAGAAATCTCTATGCAAGGCAAATTCAGCATCTGCCAGATTCATTCACCTCTGAAGCAGCTGAAGAGCTGACGTCAGAAACAGCAAGGTAACAATTAAACAGTGCTGATACCTTTTATGTTTCAAGATGCTCTTGAATTCAAAGAATAAAATGTATTTCTTTTTGTTTTTAAATGTTAAATATCCTGTTCAACATTAACACAATTAGGTAACTGCAGGGCTGTTGCTAGCGTGGCTGAGGCATAGGCCTACAAGCCCATGGTCGGAGGTGCTGGATGGTTCTGCAGCTACAGAGGTCATACTTCTTTTCTGATGCCACTGCATGACTTTGCAACTGTCCATCCCACCCTCATTCAGATTTTGCAAGAAAGCTCTAGGTATCTGTCACTTAGACATCTCATTTCTCTCTGCCAGTCAACCCCTCTCCATCAGCATGACTTCTCATGTATGCCTCTATTTCAGGTCACCCCTGGGAGGTAAGTGATGACCATTCACAACGCAGTGATACAGCAGTGCCTATTACAAGTAGTTACAGACTTAGCCTGAAAGTCTGGGCTACTGAATTTTATTTTACTGCTGCTGAGGCCTACAGTAGCTTTTCATTATGTTCACCAGGGAGCTCTGGGTGGACAACATGGTTTCTGGGTCATCACCCTCCATGCTTTGTGTATAAAGCCAGAGAGAGGAATATGGCATCCTGGCAGACCCAAACAATCCAGGATTTCCTCTGCCATGCCCCAAGCTGGCTGAGCAGCACCCAAGTCATGTTTGCATGGCTCGATGGTTGGTCACTGCAGGTGGACAGAGCTTGGTGGCCAGGAACACTGCCATTTTAACTGTGCTATTGCCAGATGAGAGCTGGCTTCCACATGATCAAGGGAAACACACAACTGGCCTTGGAGATAAATCCTGCCGTGTCTTGGCAGACACTGGGAGGAGAAGGTTATGCTTCACCAACAAGTAATAAGGAAATAATGGGCACTGGATCAGGATGTGTCTAGGTGCAACAGGGAGGCACTTTTATCTCCTTCAGCATTTATGTTACAATGGAACCTGGAACACAATCACTGCGTAACACGAAGTGGATCAGGCAAAAGATTAGCTCTTCCTCCTCACTTCACATGGGAAGAGTTTTCACGGAACGATTGCTTAAAATAAGTTGCCTAGCAAACCTGAGAAGCTATGGAGCCATACAGCTGAGGGTAACCCCCCACTGCGGTGTGTGCCCTGCCAGCTAAAGCTATTCTTCTCAAAAGTAGTCACACGGTGTCTTCCACGGTGCTGTGCAACACGCCCAGCTCTGTGCTCCTAGGAGTTATTTTTATGTGCAATAAACAGTGCTTGCTGGAACTCACTTTCAGTAAGAGTTTGCCTTAGCTTATCACACTGGCAAACCTTGATACAGTTACACGTTTTCTAGGAAAACGTTAGGGGTATTTACACATCCCAGGGTAACAAAACGACAAACTTCCTCCTCCCCATGCAAACCCAGCAAAGAGATTAGTTTAAAGGCCTGCTACATACTCAAAATTAACAAAACACTTAGCAATATGTAAAGGTGATATACTGCTATCTGCAACCATCCTCTTTTACAGAGCTTCTTTTATGAGATCTTTCAAATCATAATGAAGAATATATCATCGGTATACTATGGGTTGGAAAACATTGCTGTGAGTCAGTACAAGATGCTTTGTATTTTGGGAAATTAATTAAAAGAAGGGTAGAAAACTAACATGCAAGCTAAAATAGTGGAAAAATTGCCCAAATCAACTGAATACTTTTGTGCAAAAGGAGGCAAGATTGTCTAAGTCAGCTGCATGTTTTACTCCTCCTGACTATCATAAAACTTTGTCATATGGTAAAAAGCCCTTCAGCACATGGAAAGGATTACACACTGCCACATCCCTCTCTCTGAGGTGCTTTGTCCTACCAGAATACTGTTCAAATAGGTTTTGCATTTGATTTCTACATCCACACGTGCAAAATTGTCTGTGCCTAGGAACTCACTACTGATCTATTCCATGCAGATTAGAAGTAGAGCATTCTCAATTCTCTAGCTCACTTCCAATTAAAGGTGAGAGTCAGAATTAGACTTGGAAGTAAAACAACAGCATATGGAAACTGTATTGACATTTCTGCAAACTGACATTACTTTTCTTTTTTGAGCTGTTTTCTGCTGAAGTTCCTTTCTCAGCGTGTTTTAGCACTGTGCTTGGTGATGGGCAAGGGAATCTGACTTAAATATTAGCTAAGTCATCCTTTGACCCAAAAAGCTACATGAGCTTGTATGCACTGGCAACTCTGTGGACTGAACTCCAAGGCTTTCCCTCACTAAAACACAGGAACATTGTTCAAAAAAGCAGCAAATAGACTTAGATCCAAAGCACTTGAGGGACATTCTTGGTTAGGACACTGTAGATGCATGCACTAATTAAACCTCATTTTTATAGCCTCTGGCAGATTGTAAGTTATTCTCTCCATCTTCTCTCTTCTGAACAATTACAGCTTCACTGAGATTTCCAGTAGAGGAAAATAACAACTGTTTAATCAAATTGAGCATAAAGTATGGCTTCAGCTAGTGCAAAACCAAGCTGAAGATGGCAGGTAGGCAGAGCAGCTAGCATGAAAGTCTAGGGAAATCTCAGATTAGAACTTCAAAGGCATCTTTATCCCTTTAAGACACAATACAAAAGAGATGGGAAAATTCTCCCCGTAAGTCAGGCATCGCTGTGTTCAGACCACTGGGCAGTAGTTCTCTGACTGTGAGAGAGGGCATGACTCATTTATCTTAAAAGACTTCGTTACAGTCAGATGCAGATTCCCCAAGGCCTAGCATCAGGCAGGATTCCCACACATCACTGCCAGCTGATCTGATTCTTGCTCAGTTCAGGATATGCTTGACTGCTTCAGAAATAAATAACAATCCAGATGTGTTTCTGGACTGTTACTGAAATGAGGAATCTACATAAGCAGAATTTTTTTGCTTCAGCCAGCACGACATCAGTTTTTGAGCTGGTTTTGTCCTTATTTCTTCAGAATACTTTAGTGTTCAAAGAGCAGTTTCTAATTGTTTTGCTGCTTTTGTGCATACATACTCCTGAACCACACTTACTTACCAAAGAATCACTGACATAATTGTGATAGTTAGGATATTTCGGGTTTTCATTAGATCCAAAATGGTGTAGGTCTGTTGCTTCTGGGAATTCAAATCTTGCAGCTGGAAAAAAACAAACCAAAAAACAAACCATGGGAACACTAACTTCCTGCAAGCAGAATTATTGTGAAAATAAGTCTTCCCCAACTCATACATCAGTATTCTGATATGTTGAAGAATTGAAACAGGTGCCCCACTTTTAACCAAACACAAGCCACAAGAGCCAACTACCTGTGAAAGTAGTTGCTCCTCCCTAGTTTAAAGTCGCTTAACATTCAGGCTGAAATTAGTAATCTTTTTCTCTGCCTGAGGTGTCACAAAGCAACTTCTTATTGTTACTTTTATACTTGAATTATAAAGTGACAGCACTCATTCACGATTTACATGTCATTACTGGCAGAGTTTGTGAGCCCAGTTTTGAGCAGTATACCTCGAGGATCATGCAAATCAACTGCACCCAGACAAGGTTGATGAGACATTTGAAAAGCGGGATCTGTAGAAGTAGAGGGTTTCTTTAGCCTAAGGTTATCTTAAAAGACCAAGAATGGTCTTCAAAGACCAGCAACAAGTGGTAAACTGTCCTCTATGTCCACTGCAAAAGCAGCAAGAAATAAGATCAAACTGCAGCAGGACAGATTTAGTAAATGACTCTTCATGTATTTAAACTGAGACAAACTGGCTAATGAGCTGAAGTGTCCCCATCGTTATCTAGCCTATTTTTGAGATCTTCTAAGAATATAAGCAAAAAGACCACAAAACTTCTCCTTTCCTCATGAAACTTTCCAGCTCCTCAAAATAAAACCACTTCCATGTAAACAATGCAAAGATATTCAGCCATGAAGCATGCAAACAAGTTTTGTGCTTGATAAAAATTGTAGAAAAAGAAAGAATTTAAGTTTTTTCAATTTTATTACTTTAATTTAGACCCTTAACAAGGAGTAAGAAAGGAAAGATTTTTTCAAAATATGTAACAGGTGATTTAAGGGGACAAGTTCCATTAACTAAAACTATCAACAGATAAAGCAACACTATATGGCTGAAGAACCCCAGTTTTCTAGATACGTCATATTTTTGTTATCGGAAAAGATGGTATGTTTTCAGGATTTATGACAGGTTACTCATCATTTCAATGGTGTTTTTAGCAGTCTTATGGTAAGAACATTAACCAGACTTTGATCTTACAATCTTCCACAGAGATTCTTTTTTCTGTCAGGACATTTTCTATCTGAATCTGTGATTCTTGTTAACAGTTAGAAATCTAACCAAGAAAGACTCAAGAATCCACCTTAGCAGCTCAAAATTATCAAGTGTAAAAAGGCAATACTAAAATATTTTTGACACTTTTTTGAATTGTAAGCAGCCAAGACACTTCATAGTATTTAAATGAAGACTTCTCTTTCCACAACTAGAAGACTCACTCTTGCCTGACAGACCTCTATTATATGCAAGCACAATAAACTGTATACAAAGATTACTTCCTCCTTTGATTTTTCAAGTCAGAATGACCTGAGAATATCAAATTAAATTTTAATATGTTTAAAGACTGAATACCTTTTGTTGGTGCTGCATGCTCCTTCATGGTATCCGGAAATAGTTATCAATAGAAGTAAACTATGACTGTAGCTTCAAAATAGTGCAATTACTCACTACTTTAAACTTTTCTGAACTCTTTCCGTCTGGTCTAATATACCCTCTTTTACTCTGTATTAGTTTAACTTACAATACTTTTTCCCCCTAAAACATCAGGCTGGTCCAGCAGTAGTTGAATGCACTGTAGGACACAACACACCAATAAAGAGACAAAAGCAACCATTAGTTTAACTTAATTCTTCATCAACCTCTCTTCCATATTCATTTAGTGATGTTTGTTTTGGCAAGCTAGTTGCTGGACGCTGATTTGGGGCCCTTAATTCTTGTTCCTCAACTCAAAATAAACATTATCTCCTCAATGTCCTGTAAACTGTATCTGAGCTAATGGGAACATTAAATTTATGTAACCCCTGCAGTCGAGGGAAAATTCTGAGTGATATTTTTTATCCTCCAGGTCTTCAGAACAATAGCAGTCTGATGCTTGTGCAAGCTTCAGTGCATTTGCTTTCATAAATCTTAATTTCCTATGAAAGGCAAACAGTTCTTTACATTTGGTAGCTTTCACTCTGCCTGAAGCCCAACCTCCCACCACACAAACTGCAGTCAGCTTTACAGCTCACAGCCTTTTCTCATAAATCACATGATCTTTCCTAAGTACTCTCCAGTTTTGCCACTATTTGTTGCCAAGAAACCAGCAAACAGGAAACAAAAAAAAGGAGAAAAAACAAACCAGCCACAAAACAAAATCAGGAACAGTAAAATCCAAAGAATCACAGTTGATGAGAAGAAAAAGGATCCTGCCTTTCAGGAGCTGGACAAGCAGACCACATAATCCTTAACAGGACAGGCTAGAACAAGAAGCTGTGAGAAGGGCAGGGAGGGCAAAATGGTGATATCAAATTAAACTTATCATCCAAACATTTCTATCCTCCTCATATGGGACAATTCAGCCAACCAGGCCCTATCTGTGGTCTCCAGCGTGTTTGCGACTAGTCACCTGCTGGATCCTAACTGGTTTTGAAATCTCTGGAGCCTAAATTTTGCAGGTGCTGCTCTCCAGCTGCACAGGATCAAGGAATACTCCAAGCACAACCTAGGGTTGCTTCTCTATCCAGAACTCAGGTTCCAACTGCACGAGGGCTAAGGGCCAGATGGATTTCTGGGAATCAATCTGCAGCGTGAACATGCTTCCTAAAAGGAGAGGCTGCAAGCCTTTGCTTTACAGTTCAGAAAGCAGACAAAAGAACAGCATAAACAGACCACTGATAAAGAAAACCTTTGCACAGATTTTTTTGGTCAAAGCATCCCTTTTATCATAAAATCACAGAACAGTTTGGGTAGGAAGGGATCTTAAAGACCATCTAGTCCCACCCCCTGCCCCGGGCAGGACCCCCTTCCCCCAGCCCAGGGGGCTCCCAGCCCCATCCAACCTGGCCTTGAACCCTTCCAGGGAGGGGGCAGCCACAGCTGCTCTGGGCACCCTGGGCCAGCCCCTCACCCCCTGCACAGGGAAGAATTTCTGCCTTACATCTAATCTAAATCTACCCTCCTTCACTTTAAAGCCATTATTCCTTGTCCTATCATTACATGCCCTTGTAATAAGTCCCTCCCAACCTTTCCTGTAGCCCCCTTTAAGCACTGTAAGGCTGCTATAAGGTCTCCCCAGAGCCTCTTCTTCTCTAGGCTGAACAACCTTAACTCCCAGCTTGTCTTCACAGGCATGCTTTACTTTAAAAAGAAAAAAGATGGACAGGAGTTCTGCATTTCAACAGCGTCTGTTCATCAAGCTCATTTTCCTTTGCATGTCAGAATGTTAATCTGTTTATGAAAGTTGATGTGCAATGATTTATCTGTAAAGTACCACCATATACTCCAGCCCACTCTGCTGCAGAGGTCAGCACTTCCCCTTGTCCAGCGTTCCCTCTTGCCCTGCCTTCTGCTGCTTCGTTAGGCAGCCCCATTCAGAGATGGCAAACAGAGCAGTATTTCTTTCTAAGAACAGGAGATAGAGGACTCTGGGGACAGTGACCTTAAGCAGACGTTGAAGCCAGAGCTTATTTTCCCTTCTGCTGCAGTGTTGGCAATAGAAGGAAGGCGAGGAAAAAAAAAAAAAAAAAGTGTGTTTTAATGAAAATCCAGGGAAAAAGCTACCCTAAGAAGGTCTGGGTTTTCCTGGCATTCTCACTCTGTTCCATCAAGACCAGGATGTCTGTCCTACTATCTACAAACAAGTCTGGACAAACAGGTTTGTTTATACCTCAGCTAACCTCAACCCAAGTGAAGCTGTTTCAATCTCAAACACAGGACAGTTTAATGGCTAACCATTCTCCTTAGCCTGGTACAGAGGCCTGTAAAGCAAGCAAGTAGACAAGGGATTTTCATAGAGATAAGACAATGACAATTGTCAACCAGGACACAACTGGGCAACTGCTCTGACAGATTCTACAGATCTGCCTAGAGAGATGCTCATTTTGGATTATGTAAAGTTTGTCTGTCTGACTTTTAGAGGTTGTGTTTGAAGGAGGTAGAACTGCTTCTATACCTTAAGGTCACCAAACAGCTCAGACAAAGGGGAGATACCTAGAGGAAACAAGACTATTTTGGAAGAAATAGATGAGGAAGAAAAGATAACTGCTAGCTACTCTACCCTAAAGGGGCTCAAGTTTTGCCTTTCTTAATGTGGAGCAGAAATTGGAGTTGAATGTGGAGTTGAGCTAGAATAACATTATTTCCAGTGCCACTGGCCAGGATTAGTCTTGTGTTAGACTTTTATAGAACTACATTAGACTGAGCAAGCATAAAACCTGTTCAGCGCAAGTATTTAGATCACAAAGCAATAGATACCTAAAATTCATTACCTTCCCCCAAAAACTAGAGTTTAAAAGGAAGAAAGTGGCTGTAAACTGGATCAAAATGACGTTTGCACTAGAATGCATGTTGGTGTTCCCACAGGAATGGGACAGCAAGGGCTTTTCAAATCTGAATGAAGCAGGGAAAGGGTATTCTGCTTTTCAGGAAAAGGATGAACTTTTACCAACTTGATAAGTATGTAATACATTGCAAGCATAACTCAATTTGTATGTCTGGAAATTAATCACTTTACATGGTCATTAATAGGTCCAGCAAACAACTGGACTGCTAAATTAATCTTACCTCACTAGGGTCAAGTATTACATCTGGGGCTGTAACGCCATTAATTTTTGCAGCCTTTCGGATGATGTCTTCTGCCTCTTGAAATCTTCCTTGGGAGATCAGCCACCGTGGAGATTCTGGAATGACCCTGCAGAAAAGGTTCAGAATAACGAGCCTACATTTCCACAAAAAGCAGTGCTGCAGGCACCAATACACATTGTTCCAGGCATGAAGAGCTCAAAACTTGCCCTATCTTGCAGAAACTAGAGCAAGGACAACAGAAGTCAAGTTTACAAGAGCAGACTAGCATATTGAACAAAAACAGATTAAAATGCCTCTGTGGATTTTAGAAGTACTAAAGAAATAAGCAATGACTCGGAAAAAAAGAACAAACAAAACCTGCAAAGTATGGGAAAAGTTTAATTAAAGACATTCTGAAATATGATACATGAGCAGCATGCTGTACATCAAGAGGCATATCCTTGGAGAATAACACATATATAATTAGTAACTAAATACTGTCACATAAAAGCAAGTCAGAAAGCAGAATTTGCCCGAGTCATTCCACTTCAAGAAACTGAATGGAATCACAAACATAAATGCTAGTGTAAGTGAAGAAACACCACCACCATGTGGAGAATTTGAACTTTACATGCCACCAGAAAAAAATATTTCATTAACCATGGAATAAAACACAGAAGTCTCACAGATGTGACAAGCTACAAAACAGTGTCTGCACAGCTATGTCACCCTAGCATTGCGCAGCTTCCCAAAACAACTGGCTTCTCATTCTGCCCTTTGTTCAGGACTACCCAGAAAAGCTCATGGATTTCAGTTGGTGCAGAAGGATGAGTGATACTGACTTTTTTTTTCTTTGCGTGAGCATCACAGTTTTGTAGAAGCCTATAGAAAATGAAGAATAGGCTTTTCAGGCATGAGTCAGATCACCCACAAAGCTACAGACTTGCAGCTAAATGACTGCGAAGAGTAAAGGAGACCATGTCCATTCTTGACCTGCCCATTCCTGAATTTCATTGGTACAGGCTGTCTGGCTTGGAGTCTGGATCTTAAAAATCTGCAGACAGGACCTTCTAAAGACTAAAATCTTTCAACTTAATTATACTCACCACCAGAGCGGGATGCAGAGCAGCCCAGGTAAAGTAAGCGCCAGCAGCAGCGTCCGCCAGTCTCTGATGAAGTAAGCAAACAGTGGCAGCAACATGTAGCCAAATGCATAAAATATGCAAACGCCTAGCGTGCAGAACACCACACGAATTGATTTGCCAAGAATTTCTGTGCCTGTTCAAAACAAGAGTGAAGATTAGTATTTTAACTTAGTAACAACTAACTAAGTTACCAAAAATACCTCTAACAATTGGTTTTGAAATGTACTATACTGGATCATTACAGTATACAGGGTGCTCTGCCAATCAGTTTTAGAGGCATCACAGACCTGCTTCATGCAGTGATCCTGCATCAACACAGGTAATTATACGTATAAAAGGAAGAGAACTGGGCCATACAGTATTTCTGTAGCTTGAAGTAACTCATACTTCCATAATTTTATCTTAGAATCTCACATTTTACTTGAGGAGCTAAAACCACCTGACATACTACAAAACATTCACAGAAGTAAACCTCAGCTTAATCTCTATAGGGTCCTCTCCCGCTTACAGAGAGATACCAGCTTCTCTAAAGGATAATTCAGAGATGCCTAAATTAGGTTCCCAACCTGTATCACCTTCTAAAAGACTATTTCGCTATTAGCCAAAAAAACCTCGCAGTCTTTCAGTGTACCCATGTGGAGTCCATGCTGGGTCACTAACAAAGGCCAGGCTACTGGCAGTGGAGTTAAATGCACGAACAGGGGTCAATGCTTCCCTTTGAAATGCTCTGGGACCTGCAAATCAAGAGACACAGAAAAAAATATAATCTTCTTCGTTTCCACCGAAATCAAAGATTACAGAAGTTGCAGCAGGATGTCTGCAGTGAGGTTAGCTAAACACTGCTTTCACAGCTGCACTGGCCTTCTTTGGCCCAAAGGGAAATTCTTGCCAACATTTGGTACTTTGGACAGTAAGGTCACTGTAAATAGCTCCAATAATTTTTTTTTGAAATTTCAGATTCAGAATTTAATTCACATTCCCATGATCAAATATAGTTTTAGTTAAATTGAAACTATACAAAGCAAGAATCATTATGCCGTTGAAATTTTTACTATGGGCTGTTTAAAGGAGACTTTATAAATGCTTACTCTAACTATTTTTTTTTCTTTTGCAAGTTTTTAAATCAAATAGGCATTGAGACCCCAAAATGGACAACAGATATCTCTGAAAAGTCATGTCTTACATATCTTATCTCTCCAACCAGGAGATGGACTTTGTTTTGAATAATCGATTTCTGAGTTTTTGCCTTCTTAGGATGGTAAGTCACAGAATTAATTCAGATTGCACCTTTATCATCTGGAAACTTCCAAGGAGAGGATGAATTATCAATGTGTGGTGAGGACACACTCTTACGGTGTTGCTTGGCAAAACAAATCAACCCTAAGCCAGTACTGAAAAGCAGCAGGAAAAGCACAAGATGAAAGGACACATACTATGCCCAGCAGGACTTTCATACCAAGAACAAATGCTGCCACATAGTTAGATATCTGTCCCATGCCGACCAGCATAAAGAACACTGAAAACATCTCCCAGCTGGTAGAGAAGATCTGTATGAAGCTGAAGCCCGTCTGCATTGCCAGAGTTGCAAACAGCACATTCTTCCTGCCAAACCTTCCACAGACAGATTAAAAAAAAAAAGAAAAAAAAAAAGATTATTATAGAACAGCATGAATGAAATCTTCAGGAACATAAACGTAAGATTACTCCTATGCATGCTTAGGGAGATATAAAACATCTGCAAAAAGCGGAGGTTCAAGAAACATGACACTGGGACAACTATTCTAAATACAGTCAAAAAAATTCACTGGCCAAGGGCTGCTCGTTAAGTTGCCTTAAAGTGTGTGCTGGAACAGTATTCCTTCCTTACTGATGAGCAGGGAGACAGATCATCAGGAGCAAATTATTTAAAATGCAAGAGTATTAGATGCTCCTTTTCCTCCAAGAGGCACATAATTCATGACATGGATCAGCATGTTAAAAAAAAATAGAAAAAGGAAAGCTTCTGAGAGCGAGCTCAGGTTAAAAACTGCTATTACCGGTAAGCGATCCCATCCTTCAATCTTCATTCCACTTGGTAAAAAAATGAACCAATGTAAGGGACTCCAGCAGTTCTACTGATGATTTAAAAAAACAAAACAAAACAAAACAACACCAACAAAAAAAATCAAAACAGAATGGGAAATTAAACTAAATCCAACCCATCAAGCTGCTGTAAGAGTCAGTGCTGACGTCCTGGCCTGGGCAGCCCCACACCACAAGCAGACTTTGCAGCCTGTGACAGCATCAGCTGAGTGCAGGTCCACATAACCCCACTCTGAAATTAGACTTGCCCAGGAGGTCTACAGCTGGTACCACAAGCCTCAGGGGGGGTCACAGAGCACAAACTGTTACTTGAACCCGCAAAATATTTTGTCCATCCCCATGCTGCGCCTGGCCGGCTCGCTGCAGGACTTTCTGTAGCAGACAGGTGGATGGCAGCAGCAGAACGCCATACGGATCAGTCTCCTCGCAGGGCTGCTCGATGCATTCTCTTGACCATGAGTGAGCTGCTGTCCAGTGGCCACGAGAGTAAGGGATGAGCTGCACTGATGGCCTCCCAGGCTGTACCCAGTGAGGATCTGTGTCACCACCACGTGAAGGAGCTGCAGGAGGAGACTCCCGTGATTGTGAAGGTGGGAAGCTCATGGCTTCTGGCACCAGAACAGCTCCTGCTTCACCTGCTGGTTAAGCACCATGGAAGACACCTGGCACCTTTGTAGCAGAGGAGGGGCTGGGAGCTCTTTTGAACAGAGCACCCAAGCTCTGCAGTGGTGGGAGACTCCCCAAGGCAAAAAGGGGAAAACACCCCTCATACAGGAGAGCAGCTGGAAGGCATGGAGCTGTGCCAGGGGATGGATGATGAGCCAGCTGAGAGCTTATGGGTTAGGATTAGCAGGCAGACCAATGCCAGCACCCCTGTGCGTGTCCACTGTAAATCATCTGATCAGAGAGAAGTAAACGAAGCCTTCTTCAGACAACCCCAGGAAGCCTCGCTTCCGAAGGGCCTGGTCATCGTGGGGGACTTCAACCACTCCAATACCTGCTGGAATGACAAGACCCAGGAGGTTTCTGGAGCGCATCTTCCTTCTGCAGATGAAGGAGCTGACCAAGGGACTCACTGCTGGACCTCATGCATGCAAAGAAGGGAGAACTGTTTGGGCATGTAAAGGTCGGCAGCAGCCACGGCTGCTGTGGCTGCACGGTGGTGAAGCGCAGGATTGCGAGGGGAGGAAAGAGGCAGAAGGCAGAATCACTGGGAGAGCAAACACCAGCCTGATCAGGGATCTGCTTGGAAAAATCCCATTGTATATAGCTCTGGAGAGAAGTCCAGAAGAGCTGGTTGATTTTCATGGATCACTGACTCCAAGCTCAAGATTGGTCCAGCCTGATGAACAGGAAACTACGCAAAGGCCCTGAATGATGCTACAAGATTTGTGGCATACGGATTATGTTTCAAAGAAACAGAAACTCTACAAGTAAGCCAGCAAATTAGAGGCCTACATATTGTTCTCTGGGAATCAGGAAGACAGCACACAATGCACTGCACAGCAAATCCCAGGAAGAAAATCAAGATAACTGAGCTTTAAAAAAAACCCCAAACAACAGTCAACATCACAAAAAATAATGGTGGTTTCCACTATAAGAAAAAAAAAATTTAAAAATGTACTGATAAACAAGAAAGCCTTGCTTCTCTTGAGTACAGCTGAACAGCATTCATGTTTTGCAGCTTCTACAAATGCAGATCATTGGACTTACATGCTGCATTTGATGATGAGGAAGAGAAACTATGGATGTTTATAAAAAGAGTATTTTAAACTTAACCTCAAAAAAAGGAAAACAAGCCTCTGGGATCTCTCTGAACATAGTCCAAAGTAATTAGAAGAGAACGTAATTGATCTGATTTTTTCAGATAAAGCTTATCTCCTACACCTGTTTTCTGGCATAAAACCAGTCTGCTCCAGAAGCGATTTTGCTGAAAAAAACAAACAGAAAAGGATAACATCCACTAACAACCTTTGTAACATTCTGTTCTAGTTCAGGATGTTTACTCTATACTCTCTGTGTACATTCAGATTAGATGGTCACAGACCAAAGACATGTTAGTAGTTGCAGAAAGGAAACTTCACATACAAAAACTGCTTAAAACAGCATCAAACAAAGAGCCAGTAGCTCTGGTGTATATACTTTACTTGTCTGACAGCTGTCCTGATATGAAAGATCCAAGCAGGACGCCCACAAAGAACAGGGAGGTGCTCAGGGGTCCCTTCCAGTCATCGTCACATACGAGATCCCACTGCAGGGAAAGAGAACATGAAAGTCTTCTAATAAACAGGATTTCCCCTCCCTCCTAAACATCTTGGCTGAGCCTCAGGTGAAAATGCACCCTTTGGTCAGAAAACCTCTACAAGGGCAATGAGTAACTAACTACTGCACAAATGCAGCTCCACAAAAACAACAGGAAGGGATGATGGGCAGCATGGGGCAAAGGCCACCCGCCCGTAGTCATCTCGGGAGCAATCCAGCTGAGGCCCCACCACCACCTTCAGGTGTGACCCATGTGGCTTTGACACTGGTGACAGCTGTGGTATTTCCCCTGCACATAGATGAGGGACAGGAACTAATAATTTCATAATGCACTGCATCCAGCTCCCTTCCAAAGGCTCTGCAGCCCCTTAAACTGCTGCAGTTCTGCTGGTTTGGGAAGGAATGAGAATAAACCCCAAACTTGATTTCTTTGCACATCCATTAAAAAAAATCGTATTTGTAATTTAAGAGAAATTGAACTACAGAAACAAGACTACTGGAACAAAAAGCCTCTTCCTTTATTACATTTTAATATGGTTTTGAGAGAGACTGGAGACTGTTCATTCCTCACTGGGAACCAAACTAAAGTCAATTATAATCTTTGGAATACAAATTGAAATATACGCCAAACAAACCAGGATTTCCAAAATGAAAACAAAAGAGAGGAAGAAAACAAGATATTAAACAAAGATTGCAATAGTTTCCAATCTCCTACCCACATCAGTCTGATGTTTTTGAAATAGCGCTTATGTTATTTTTGTATCTATACCAGCAGCTATTATTGCAAGAGTCGTAGTTTTATTTTGGTTATCTGGGGGGAAAAAAAAAAAAAAGTGGGTAAATATTAGAAGAAAGGACAAAACCCAGCAGGGATGCCTCGTGCCCTACCTCACTGCTGTGCTGTGACTGGAGGAGCTCCCAGAGCTCTTGCCATCCTCCCCACAGCCCGCTGGCAGAGGGCAGGAGGTGCTGCAGCCCCACAGGGGAGGAATTTGGAGGCAACCAGTGCTTCTGATGTGAGGCCAAGCCCTCCAGAGTTTAGTTATTCCAACAGCTCCCACAGGGCCCCTTCTGATGTTTTAGGGATGGGAACTTTTAGTTTTTAATCTGCATTAAAAAGGTTGAAATGAAAATGTTCACCCTGACCCCAGTAATTAATCCCCCTTGCTCCCCAATTACAAATAATTAAGTATAGTGTGTTTTCCTTTTTTGTTAAATTTGTACTGGAACACTGGGTCAGATCTGCCTCTGCAGCTGCTGCGTGTCCCAGCTCTGCCATCTACCCCATCCATGGTCCCACACCAGCTTTTTGCTTTGTCTGCTAGCTCAGCCTCCTCTGCATTAAGCCTCTGACTCCAGGAATCTCACATCCCTCAGTCTATTAACAGTTCACACTACAACTACACCTTAATGTATATTTTAAGGCTGGGGATCACTAGAGACCATGCACTGAATGAACAACACTGGCAATTGCCTTCCACTCCTAGATCCCCATGGCAAAATTCAGGTGAGCCAGCACTTGTTCTGAGGAACAGGCATCCAGTTTTGAACTAGAACTGGAAGTTCTTCTAGACATGAATGATGCTCACTCATACAGGCTGCACTCTCAGTCTTTGTGTAACTAACTGCCAACCTGTAGACTATCTGATGAATTCACCTCACCATTATTATTTTTTTAAGATCATGGGAGCAAACAAAATGGACCTTTTCACAGTTTGTAATTGCATTCAAGTAATTTCTTAACCTCTCCTTTGATAAATCCGATTGTGATTTTGTGTCTGAAGAACCCCTCCTTATACCAGATTTCATAGTCTTCAACATTATTCCCCAAACCTTCCCAGCCTCACACCACCTGAAGCAGACACCAGCACTCAGTGCAATGCTCCAACAAATCCTACCAACACCAACAATTACGCACTGTTACAGAAATTCCTTTCAGAATCGTGGCTAGCGTGCTAATGAATTTATAACCCTCCTGTAAGGGATTTAACTAACCATAGTTATCAATATCAGTAGGATTAAAAACCTTTTTAACATTTATAATTAAATCTGTATTTATTCAACAAAAGCTGTACTTCATTATAGATTAAAGTAATTTTGTGATGTCCACAGAGGCTAAAGCAAAATGTATCTGGTACCTTGGAAATATGCAGCAAATGAGCGTTATCAAATTCACATAGGCCAAAGGTTTCAGTGGCTTATCATATACCTTCATATAACAGCACTTACCAGGAAAACAAGTGCCGCTCCCAGTGCAGATCTTGCATTAATAAAGACTCAACTACTCACAAAGAATCATCTTTGTATCAGCTACTGGAGTCAGACATCTCCAGTAACAGAGCAAAAATCTAACAAGCCAAACATCTAGCTCGGTGATTTATACTCTGTCACTACTAAATTAGTCATTATTTCCAGCTGATCACCCTGTGCTTACAAGTTAGCTGCCTCCTTTCATCTATCTTACACTCTGCACTTTGGCACAAGGCTGCACAAGACTCGGCTTTCCAGACACTGGCGTGCTTGTGCCCTGTAACAAACATATTTTTCAGACCACTGAGGTAGAGACGTTGCTTGGAAAAGTTCATGGTATTGAAATGTTTTGCACTCTTCTGCCAAAAGCTTCTTGGACCAACAGGTAGAAACATACTGGTTCTTAAAAATGTGGCAATGATTACCAGCTTGTTTTTCTGTTTATTAAAGCAACATTAGGAGCTCTTATGCTGAAGATCACTTGAACTAGGAACCAAAGTGAACTTCAATATCAGATTTCCAGGGGAAAACTACCTTGGTTGTGCAATATCAGTTATTTACAGTCTCCATAGATGCATCATGATCAGAACAAAGGGGTTTTAAGGGCTGTTACCCCTTGCTCTGATAAATGAACGCTGAAGTCTTCAACTTTTGAATGACTCACCAACAAGGTCTACTACATTGCCTGTTAGCCATGGTGGCATCAGTCTTCCAGAACCATTCTGCAACCAGACCCTTCCCTCAGCTTTACCTTGCCCAAGAATAAGGCACCGAAGCATCACTGTTAGAAGACTGGCATCACAAACAGCGAGTGTCCCAGAAGTAGTTATTGATTGAATTCTGCTGCTGGCAGTGCTGGTTGGACACCAAATACCGTGACCCAGTGCTCTAAACTCATGTGCTATTTTCACTTCTTAGTATCCTTTGAGTTAGCTTGCTAGCTGTAACGGCCTTTGCCCCGGTCAATGAGATAAGGTTAACCTCAGCAAGGTATCAGGGCTCCAAACAGGAGAAAAACATTTCAGCTTTGTTTCAAAGAGCAGCTGCTGATGTTGAAGCACTGAGCTCCTAAACACTAGTACCCAACACCCAAGGCACAGCAGAGAGAATTCTCACTCAATTTGATTAGAGCTTCAGAAGATGACATCTTCCTGCTGGAATTTAAACTTGTCTTCCAGACAGCTTGCAGATACTTTGGACTGTAGCTACTTCCTGAATAATTCCTCAGGTTGGGCAGATGTCTTCATCAACAGCCTCACACCTAATAGCAATAATCACTTCTGCATCAGAGGCAAGATATGCACCTCTGTAATGGATTCCTGGCTAACGCCAGCCACTGGTGAGGACTGATGGGAAGAGGGGCTGGGACAAGAGGACAGGATACAGACACAGCTGGAAAATGTGGACAGCTTGAGGCATAAAGTGGGGGGGCATCACAAGGGAGAGGGATTGAAACAGTTGCTTCTCAAGCACAGGTTTGGGGCCAGAGTATCAAACAGTTCTTGGTATTTACGGTCATCACTTAAGCATCTCTTCAGGAGAGCATTTTCCAATTTCTGCTTCATCTCTTCCATGGCAAGTCAGCTACCTGGAACCACATTTTCAAATTCCTTCCTATAAAGCAAGCCCAGTTACAAAACTGAGAATAAAACCCCCTAAGCTCCCAGCCTTTTATCACAATCCAACCTGAATAAGAGGTGTTACTGCAGGCTTAGTTAGAATCACACTAAGCAGCATACACAGAAGCGTGTTAGTCTGGATAGACTGTTATTTCCTGTATTGTCTTACACCTTCCTATACTAAACTGAACATTAATGTAACACCTCTAACCAAAAAGAAAACTACCCTGCAATTTTAACACAAACCACAAATCACAACGAAATTCAGATTCCAAGATGAAATATCGGAATTCTTCAAGCAACAAACTGTGGAGCAACCTTCAAAGCATAAAACAACGGTGTCCAACTACAATTGCGAGGCGAGTTTAGGCAGACAGGATGCCACAAGTCCAGCTGGGTGCTGCCATACCACAAGTAAAAAATACCGCTCCTCTAAGTTCTCTAGGCAATTGAAAACCTTAAAGCGTGAAGAATAGTTTCCTGTGTACAGGCTCTGCATCGACTGCACTTGCAGGATACCACTTGCCTCAAAAGGAGAGCTGGCACTTCATGAATTACTGACAGTAAATCCTGCAATGGCTCTCATCCAGACACCAACACAAATCCCTTGTCCTGCTTCACTTCCACTGCAATTATATTGTCTCGCAGGACATGTCAAAACAGGAAATAAAATTCTAGCTGCTGACAAGATGCCTATCCTATTTAAGCATAAAATTTGCCCAATATTTATAATACATCATGACATGGAAATTGCCAGCCTAATTATAGGGGAGCTCTTCAAAAACATCAAAAGTTCTTGCCATATAGCATCACAGCAAACGAATATATACCACCACCAAATATACACCAATATCAAGTATGTTTGGAAAATTACAGAAGTAGTTGCAAGAAGAACAACAATATAATTTAGGACCTCACTTGAAAAAAATCGTGTTTCTCAGATTAGAGAGAACTGTTCCACTGCGGAGGCACTCACGCTTCCCCAATACCATTACTCTTACCCTAAACAAAGATGAATTATGACAAATACAGAAACTTCTAGAGCCTTACTTGGTTACACCCCTGATATACAAGGAAAAGCCTTACAGGAAAAGGAATTTTTACAGCTACAATATATTGTGTCCTCCCACTCTTACTATTTTTTTTTTAAAAGCTTTCCTCTCTTGCTGAGAATAACATGCATAATTAAAAAGAAAATATTAGCAGATGGAACTATCCCACTCCCATTTTCCAAAATCAACATGTTCACAAGAATTTTTGAAGCTAATCCAATATCCTGTACTCTGTCCTACCACTTACTTCTCTATGCAAGTAGAGGCAGGTTCTTAAAAAAAAATAAAACCTTGCAGTATCACAACTGAGTACTTGCACCCTTTGATTCAGAATCTGGTCTTGTTTATACCCATATAAATAGTCTCTGCATACTTGAGAGCTGAGTGTTATTAAACATCCTTTCCTCTGAAAATACATTTGTATATTCCAAATACTTAGATGTTCTAGAAGTTACATTAAAACTTATTAACTAAATGCAAGCAGAAGTCTGTATCTACAAAATATACATTCTGTTCAATTTCTCCCCTTGTAGTTTTAAATTTTTACAGAGGTAGAACTTGCACAGAACAGGAAGGAAAGTGCCAAATATTTTATAATTCCCATGCAGAAACTTAACCCTCCCCCATATAACACATTTTTGAGATGGCCAGAGAAAAAAGAAACAGGGCACTGACATCAGAAACTGGGAAACACGAGCTGAGTTCTGATCTAAAAGTAAAGACAGCACAACGGGAGCATTACCCTGTCATTAATTGTTCACGGTACCGCTACAAGAACATTGCTTCCATTTTAACGATATCAACTGCAGGCCTATCATCCTTTAATAATACTAACCCTATTTTGTGTTCCAAGGTCAGAAATGTCTGCACTTTTTATTGGCATTCCGGAGAGTCCTGCATTATGTGCTTCTGAAATCACACCTTTAAAACCTTCGACATTTTAGAAGTACTTTTGTGCATCTGTCAGACATTCATATTTACTTATTAAATGAAAACTAGACTTTTTTTTCCTTCTTCCGACAAGAATATTAATACTAAGATTTTGTACCTGCAAATCACCTAAAGGTCTTTCCATAGCCTTATCAGCCCCTGAGGCTGAGAAGTTGTCAACATGAACTTCAGCCAGAAAAGTAAGCAGATATTAACCTACAGCACAAAAGATGTATCTATTTTAAAAGGTGAGAAATAATGGAGGTGACTAACATTAATGAAGAGTTTGGTGAGAGCTGAATCTGGATGACACAGGCTTGATTTACACTTCAGCTACTGGTTCCACTCTTCAAAAAGCCTGCAGAAACTACAATGTCAAGCATGAGCTTGTGTTTTTCTTTTGGTAAAGCAAAACAATACATCCCTCCGCCTTCCAATAAAGAGTGAACATGGAAACCTCCAGTTCGACAGCTGTACCACAGTGCCTGTTTGTGTCATTCCAGATGTCCAGATCACTGCAGTCTCCACTTGTTTCCTGAAGGTCTGGCATAACCCACTGACCTTCAGGGACAGGGCTCTGTCAGCACAGCAGGGCCCCTGAATCCCTGGTGTGCAGGGAACAGGAACCTCCAGGCCCTCTTACCTGTCCAGAGCTTTCTCTCCCTGCACGCCTGCACAGGACGGAGCGCCAGCCCGGCGCTGAGCCTCAGGACACTTGGCAATTCCCACCATGCACATCCTTCCCCTGCAAAAGCTAAACAGGACATGAAGCTTCTGAAGAGCATAGCAGGCATAAAACATGCAGCTCTGGAGTACACCACCTACACTAAACTAATGTCAAATTGATCAACAATGCCACACATTTTTAGAAGTTGAGGATGAATATGCGTATAAAAAATTCCATGTCTATTTACATTTCAGTATGCAAGAATTACTCTCATATCGACTAAAAAGTTTTGACTGCTTTATCATCTAATATCTTCTCATTATATCATATTTCCAGTCCACTCTTAACTCCACTGCTCAGTTTTACTCCCAGCTATTCAGTATAGCCCCATAACAGATATGGCTGGCAGAAGAACTTAGCCTTTTCCCTTAATTACCCCTGGTTTTATTCCTTTTACTACCACATATGAACTTTTATTACTCCTACATTCTTTTTTTATGTGACTTATGGAGGAATAAGAATGACACAGATGGCTTCTTAAGCCAAAGTAAATCTTTTCTTATCCCCCGAGCTACAGCATTTCAAAAAGTAAAAGACAGAAAGGGATTCTGTTACATGGGAGCTGGTTAAATACTGCAGACTGGCTAATAATAACCTTCTGTTGTTAGTCTGTGTGAGAAAAGGAAGTCTCTCTTCAAATGAGAGAGCGCTGAATGTTTTAAGTCTCCCCTGAAAAGCAGAACCATAAACGAGGACTTTCTCCAGAGTCATGAGAGAGTCAGCAAAAAAGCATTCTTAAAAAAAAAATTCCCCCTTCCCCCCCCAGCGCCAGCTACAGAAATCTGGGACAAAGGTCCTCATGATTATTCAACAAGTTAGAGATATGCAACCTAACACAGGATTAGTTAATCATAAAAGCAACAGCACCAAGCCAAGAAATTAAACAAGTTTAACACTGAAAACCTGCAAGTATGTGAAAGGTCATGGCTCTTGCAAAACACCCTCAGAAGCATTAATATTAAAGGGAAAAACCCTACTGGCTCAGTGCATGATGTCTAGCCAGACAAACACTACCTCCCACAGACACAAAACATCTGCCAAACCGTACAGACAACGGGCCAGAGCTGCTGGGGAGTCTCAGCAAAACGCTAGCAGCTCCTGTTTCTTATAGATTATAAAACTCCTGGATGATATTCTGATAGCTCAAGACAATTTACACCACGCCAAAGCTCAGCAAAGAAGCTCCAGAGACAAAGTACTGGTTGAAACCACATTGAAGTCAGGTCAACCATTTACAGTAAGGCGCTCGAAACAAAACCTGCACGTTCACCTGTGAACAGGACTGCCCTGAAGATACCAACTGCCTCACACTGCCCTAAGGACACCTCAGCCTGCCACAACAGCTCATTTCAGCAACAACCAGGGTCTAAGAAATCAGAGCCACTTTCCTCTCAAGGAAGACAGCACTTCTTTAGAAATAGGTGAGGCAGTGCCTTGTGCCAATTGTCAGAATCACTCAAGCCCCCCCCCCCACCCCGGTTGCTGGGCGGTTCAAGGGAAGTTTCCAACAACTCCAGTGTCACCATTTCCATGCCTCCCTGTGCTGGCATGGCTCCTCTCCCACGGTCCCTTCCTCACCCCAGTCCTCCTCATCCTCCTGAGGAATATTTCTGTGCTCAGATCAGCTTACGGCCAGGTCACTGAGTACTCGCATCCATCACTATTCAAACGCCCATCACAAGCCATTTTGTAAACCAAGGAATAAAGACAAGTACAGTTCCAGCTCTGTCAAACTTGTCCTGCGCACAAACAGGCAATGAGACTGTATAAATGGTTTGTAAGCCTTCTGAAAAAAACTTATACATGTTTTGAAACTTAAGTATTTCTTAAAATCCATTTCCTTGGATCTTAAGTCAATCAGTACCTGCAGGTCTGTGCAGCGTTCACCTGAAAGAAGAGGGACAATCAGCACAGCTTCAACTTTCTCTGGTTGCCCTGACCGGAGATTTGACTCAAGAGGTGTATTTGAGCAGACGAGAACCTGGACTGTGCTGTCAGTTGAGTGGGGAGATCAAAAGCAGCGGCCATGACCAAAGCAGAGGCATCGTGGGCAAACAGCAAACTTCAGGGTCCTTTTGGACACAGCATCAAAGCAGGGCTCCTTGACGGCCCGCATCCTGCACACCGCAGGGTGACTCCTACCACCCTTTTTTAAAAGAAGTGAAACAAGCCCTTCTGAGCTCCCGATTTCCAGGACTCACCGACGAAGCACCGAGTGTGCCGAGCCCCTTGTCCCTGCGCCCCAAGCCGCTTGCAGCGGCACCGGCTGAAACCCGTGAAGCGGCTACCGCACGCGGGCTGCGCTCGCCAAGGGAAGGCACTGCACCGGGCCACCGCCTCTGCAAGCGGGAGCCAAAAGAGCTCGCTCAACCCAAGCTCGGCGGGGCGGACGGGGCAGCCGGACGATGCCCAGGCGGCCCACGGCGATGCTGCGCCCCAACACCCGCCCCCTCGTCGTCCCCCCCCACCCCATCCCCGCACCTCGCTGACGATGGTGGAGCGGTAGACGTCGCGGCTGTACTCCCAGCCGTCCAGGCACGGCTCCTCCTCCAGCGACCCCAGCTCCACGTCGGAGCCGGGCCGCAGCCCCAGCGCCGAGAAGTTGGCGAGCGCGGCCAGGCGGTAGCGGCGGCAGCGGCTCGGCACCGCCCGCCCGCCCCGCAGCTCCAGCGGGATGCTGGCGTTCCGCCACTCGCCGCTCAGGTTGGCCCCGCGGGGCACGGCGCACCGGTGCTCGGGGGTGCCGGCCAGGAACACGATGGAGAGGCCGTTGAAGCCGTTGGGGACGATGCTGGCGCTGAGGAGGAAGAAGACGAGCCGCTGGAAGCGGCCCCACTCGCCCAAGAAGGCGGTCACCTCCTCGTAGTCGCGCATGGCGCGGCCGCCGCTACCTGCGGGCCCGTCTGGCTCGGGCAGGAAGCAGCTCCCGCCGCGCTGCCCGCCGAGAACCTCGCCATGGGCCGGGCCTGGCCGGCGGGGGAGCGGCCGGGGGTGGGGTTTGCAGGCGGAGGCCCCTCAGGTGGGGCCGGTCTCGGTCTCGGTCTCGGTCTCCGCTGCCGCCACCGCCCGGGCCGGCCCCGCCGCCTCAGCCCGCAGCGGGCGGTCCCGGCATGCCCTGCGGCCGGCCGCTCGGGAGGCGCGGCGGGGGCTCGGCCCGGCATGGCGGCGTGACCGGGAGGCTGGAGCGGGAACGCGGACAGACAGACACACAGAGACAGAGACACACGGACGCTGACAGACACAGGCACACGGACACTGACAGACACAGACAGAGACACAGACACTCGCAGACACACAGAGACACAGACACACGGACACACACACACACAAAGACACTGACACACAGAGACTTACAGACAGAGACACACACGGACGGAGACACAGACACACAGACACTGACACACACAGAGACACACACACACACAGACACTGACACAGAGACTCACAGACACACTGACAGAGACAGACACACACACACAGACACTGACACAGAGACTCACAGACAGACACACTGACAGAGACAGACACACACACAGACACTGACACAGAGAGACACAGACACAGAGACTCACAGACAGACACACAGACAGAGACAGACACACAGACACTGACACAGAGAGACACAGACACAGAGACTCACAGACAGACACACAGACAGAGACAGACACACACACACAGACACTGACACAGAGAGACACAGACACAGAGACTCACAGACAGACACACTGACAGAGACAGACAGACACACACCCCTACCCTCCCCCCGGGCCTGGCTTGGCGTCTGTGTTCACAGCGATGGCGGGAAGAGGTGGCCCCCTGTGTCCTGCTGCCCGGCAGCTTCAGAAACGGGGTTTGAGATCAAGTGAATCCTCACGCGGGTGCCTGCAGCCCCCCGGGTTTAGCTGCAGCTCCCGCAGTTCTTTGCTAGCGCCTGGGTTTGAGTCGTTACCACCACCCTGGCTGTTACGTGGTTCCTCACCTTGTTTCCCTCACAACTGCCATCGTCCCTTCGCCAGGACTGCGGTTGTGAAAAGGTCTTGCTGACCATGGCACTATTTTCTGAGGGAACGTGTACTGTGTGTTTGACAAATAAAACACTTAATAAATAATATTCCATCCTTAGGTGAAAAATCCCAGCTCGGTACCTAGTGGCACTGTCAGGAAGATTGTAGCTCCCACAGAGCTCAGTTAAGAAGCTGCATGACTGTCACTGCAGAATTTGGCTTTGCTCTCCACGAGGCTAATTCGCATTTCTGACTGGCTTTTTTTGGACTGACATTTTCTCCACCTCTGATAAAAGCTCGGTGTATACCTTTCGCAGCATTTTTGAATGCTTGCGTTTAGCTTTCATTCCATGTTGGAGTCACACAGCTGTGAAGAATCTCAAATGTAGGAAATGAAATAGACAAAAGTTTAACCTCAAAATCATCCTTGAGCCTGTCTGAGGTCTGTCTTTGGGGCTTTGTAGGATTGCAGAGTCAGGATTGAACCATCCGAAAGCCAGAAAAACTGGACCACACCATCATAGCCTTGCTGTGTGTAAAAGCTTATTTGTGAAAGAGCTTAGTATAGGTTTGTTTTTTTTTTTTTTTTTTCCATACATTATCCATGCTGAATACATTTTAAATTACATCTTTAAACTTCTTCCCACAAAGTGTTAAAGTCAGGAGACTCCATTCTTCAATTACAATCCACACAGAAGGCAGGTTATACAATGCCAGTGCACATCTTTATTACAATTAAGACGGAAGGTAACGAGTGACAATTACTACAGTTTCATATATGCTTTTGCAGATCCAGCTGAGGATCAAAGGATACACAGAGAGACCCCAGTGACAGAAGTGACAGATGAGGCACAGCACAACGGCCCTTGCGGCCAGTGGGAACGATCCGGCTGGTGCTTCCCTCCTGTCCCCAGGTGAGAGCCCCCCGGGCATCCCCCAGCTGCGCTGGAGCATGGGGGTCCCACACCGAGCCCTACCGAGTATCTGACACACAGAAAACTCCACCAGAGATCGCGGTGAGAGGCTTCAATAGCTCACTAGCAATACATCGCATTTCCACCAATAGCTACTAAACCAGTGCTCTCTTCTTCAGCTTTACCATTTAAAAAACGGTGACTCGCCAGAAACAGGCACTCCTGCCTTCCTGATTCACTCATTTGATTGCTCTGCAAACTATTGCTCTTTGGGATTCTTTGGCAATACTCATTAGAGCCTGGGAAAGATACTGCCAGAGGACAGAAATTCTCCTTGCAAATGCTTTAGCAGCTAAAGCAATCTTCCCCCATTTCTACTATGCTCAGACATTGTAAGGCCTTATAACAACATCACATACTTTTCAGAAAGGCATTCCACTCTTGTGAAAGATTCTTTTAAATCTGCCATTAAAAATACTAAAATGTAACACTAGCTTGAGATCAATGGTATAAGTAAGAAAAATGAGACTGATTAAAACAAGGTATTAAAAAAAAAAAACCCACAACCCTTTTTCTTATTTATAAAAGGAAAACTAGGTTTTAAGATACTACAGAGCCCAAGAGTACAAAAATATTTACCTTTTAGATATACCCAAGACTACGATCACATAAAATAAGTATCAACTTAATATAAAAATCTTCATAAAAATACAGCCACCTATATTTAACCAAGTCCTCAAACCAGTCCTATGCTGATATAAAGGTTTTGTTGAGAAATTTAGTTACGTCTAAATAGCTATTCCACAGATTAATTTTGTAATAAGTAAAAACAAGATTAAATACTGCTGTTATTAAAGTCCAGCTTGAGAAGGGATGAGAATGACAGGGGTCACAGGATGATGGTTGCCTCATGCCACTTTACATTTATGGCAAAAGCATAACTGCAAAAAATTAATATGAAAGTAAATATTATTTCCGCAACTGAAAGAGCAGCTTGACATAATTGCACAAGTTCCTTGCATTTAAATGTTATAAAGCTTTATATTTGTGCTTGAATTTATAGGGAGAGCCACATTCCTGTGCCAAGTGCCAGCACAAGACAACTTGCCACGAGCTCTCACATTAGAGATGAGACAGTGTGCTTTTGTTGGCCCTTACTGGAGGTGAATCATGGCTAATTGTTATTTATAGACGATTAAAATCAGTCTACCCAGTCTGATAGACTTTATGTGGCCAAGAAGTGCATATACAGCCAATAAATAGAAAAATAAAAGGTATTATATGTTTTTCAAACTATGTAGTGTTCATAAAACAGTAGTAGCACAACTCTAAGCTCTAAATCTGTTTTCCTCCAATCTAGCTTTGCTGATCTTAAAAAAAAAAAAAAAAAAGCACACATAACGTGTAGGATTTAAAAACCAAAACACTGACTTTGTTGGTGGGTTTTGGGGTTTTTTGTTTTTAAAAAACTGTGGTCCCAAATTAGCCCTTTTGTGTTTTTAATAACTGCAAGTGAACATCTCCAGTACAGAACATTAGATTTTTGCAAGCATAAAATCCCCTTTAAATTTGTAAATGGTAGAAAGGTTTTGCAGAGGCTTTTGAAACTGCAATGAGCTTTCTCTGAAAGTACAGAACAATGTGGTATATATTCAAAGGAGAAATGAAATGCTTTGGAAAAAAAAAAACCCAAAAGATTTAAAAAACTGCTTATGCCAATATACCATGAAAAACCTGAAAGCTAGAACTGCACGGCAGGCTCAGACAAGATCACTGGCTTGCTAAAGCCCGTGTTTCTCCTGAACGCGGGCACAGCCCAGCAGATGGTCAGCAAGCTATAGTCCTTTCTGCGTTAAAGGCTTCCCCCTGCCCCCAGAGACACTGAACGCTCATGAAGCCCAGGGATTTCAGTGGGCTCAGGCTTTATGAAAAAGCATCAGCTTTTACAGGGACACGTGGATCCCAGGTCTTGGGAAAAGCAAGTGACATCAAAAGATACTCCAATGTCTTGTTTAAAACCACGTCTTTACCGTGAAGCCTATGTCTGCTTTGCTACAACTAAATTCCGATCCTGCTTAGTCTGTCAACCCGCTTTGGTCGACCTGCTTTGGTCCCAGATTTCAAAGGAAGCCAGGATCTTTCCTTTAGGATTTTCAAAGACAGACACCCAGCTCCCCTTCATCCAGTCAACACATACAGTGAGAAAAAACACCAGGAAACCAATGTTTGCCTTTTTTTTTTTTTTTTTTTTCTTCCTTTAAGCAGCTTTCATTGAGAACCTGACTGAGTGGAGTCTCTGCTGCCTTATTCCTAAGGCTCATGTCTAGCTTGCTCCTCAAATCAATCATGTTCAGCACATGCAGGTCCCCATTTCTCAACAGGGACAGTATCTGCTGACAACCCCAGGTGTCAGGACACTAAATTACAGACTAAGAGTCCTATGGGAGTAGACAGCATCTGTTGAGTAAACTATGTATTTGGGTACAGTAACACAGGGGATAACAGCTATGGTGCAGTAGCATTGACTGTTGGGTTTTGTTTGTTCTGGCAGAAAATGCATTTTGGTAAGATCTTGTTCTTCTTTCAGCCCCTCTGAGAGTGTGCATCCTTCTTCACAAGGGTGTTACCAGAATTTTAGAATTTGCCTTTGAATTCCTAATGCCAGTGGTTTGTTGTCCATTTCTGAAACTGAAAGCAAGTAAAAGACTGAGAAGCTAAAGAACATTTTAGAGGGTGTCATCAGACACTTTCCCCTCCTAATTAGCACTGCTAAATTAACCATGCTACACTACTAGTATAAACGCTAGAAAAAAATGTAATGCTCTGTAAAGTATGCCTTTCTGGATGACAGTAGTAGTGCTGCAAACAACACTTGGAACTTTAATGTAAGTCAGCGAGTGTAATTTAGTTACTTCAGTCTGTTTATGCAAGAAGCCTGTGAAAGAATCTGGTTTGACTCTACTCTTCTAGCTACAGTTCATCAACTGCAACACTGAACAGCCACAGATCAGACATATGAGAAGTCCCTAATTGTGATAAAAAGCAGCATGCCCTTCTCAAGGAACCTGGCCCGAGAATTCTTCTTATTCTGGAAGCATAATGACAGCTCCTTACACTGACCAGGCATTAGATACAGGCAATTCCAGCTTTTTCAAGCTATTATTGCTTACAAGGGCACATTCTGT